TATTATTATTATTATTACTACTACTACTACTATAAGGTTAGCGTAATGGTCAGTCGTAGTGTGCGTTTTTTACATCTTGATCAATGTGCTCTTTACGTCCACTCTTACCAGACGTTTGAAAAAGTGCTCCAAAAACTGTACCCTGCAAAATCCTTTCTCGTGTCAGGAATTGTAGCTTAAAAAGACTGGTTCAGCTTTCGGAGCCCAGTTTTTTAAAATGCCTTTTTAATGTAAACTTATGTGAACTTCGCTTATGCCGTCAAGAATATGTGTACTTGTTGATCCGGTATTACGTGTGTTCCTTTATCACTTTAGTGGGACTTTTGAATTTATGCTACCTTGGAATGTTGGTGTGTATAATTATTTCATTTTTTAAAACGTGGGTATTTCCTGTTTTCTTTTCGCTTTGATGTATGATTACTGTTATCCCTGGTGGTGGTTGTGGTATAGATATGTAAAAAGCCCATCTTGAGATGCAATCTCTCCAACTGTGAATAAATATCAAACTATGTGGACAAGTGACATTTTCTTCGGTATAGTGTTTCTGTCTTCTGTCGTACTTTATTCCTTCCCCCTTTATCCTGTCGTTTAAGGTCAGGTATTTTGCCTCCCAAATGGCGTATTTATGTCTTCTAGGTCGTTGAACTTATGCAAAAGCGAAAACGTTTTCTGCGTGTATCTTGTCGGTGGGTTTTTTAAAAATACCAATAACATGGCTGTCGTGAGTTTGTGTAGTGTAGCAGTAGTAAGTGAAGTTTCTTGTACAGAATTGCAAGCTCAGGGAAAAAAGGATGCAGGGATTGTAATTACATGTACTTAAGACCATAAGCTGTATGTCCGAATTGTCAGCTGACCTGGGGTCTGTCCAGATTGTCTACTGACGTTGTATTCTAAAACGTGTTCCAATCTTTGTAGTTTCTGGAAAGACGTACGTTGCCGTTGCGTTTATATTTTTTCTATGAAGGTTACGACCAGGCAACGACCACTTGTTGCCAGCTCAGCTCAGCGGTTACTCAACTGCCCTTCCGTTGTTTTTAGGGACAGAATTTGGTAAGTTGTACTTTGTAATTTGGCAAGGCTCTAAGTGGGTGGTTGGCGGGTGCTCTGGTGTGGTTTGCTTCTTCTTTCCTATAAAAAAATCTATCGTCCTTATCTCCCCCTCCTTCTTTTTTATGTTTGTTACTCTCTTGTAACACATCTAATCGTCTGGCGCTCATATGACCTTATGCAGTTGCGAGCGCCGTAAAACATCTACTAAAACAAACAAACATAAGTTGTTTTGGCGATCTTGATTTGTAAGACTGGCGTCTCTTGTGTAGCTGGTGAGCGCTTGGTTGTCGCATGCAGGAGGCCTGAGTTCGATTCCCGTGTGTGGGGTAAGTTCTTATCGAGTATATCCGTCTTTCTGCTGGGATTTCTGCCTGGGTTGGCCCTGACTTGCAGGGTCGAAACAACCCACCCTTCTAAATATTTATAATATGATGTCGATGGGGGCTTAAAACTTCTGTAGTTGCAATTTTAAAATTAAAAAAAAAGTCTTTATAATGCTTTCTGTGTATCTGTCTTGAGAAATTTTGTTGTTGTTGTTGTCGTTGTTGTTGTTAGATAAGGGGAGTTAGGCATTTCACCTTCATTTATTGCATGTTTCTTTGGTCGTCTCTCTGTTCTTGAGTTTACATTTTGTGTCTCCTGCTTGTTCACTATTCAAAACTTCGCGAACAATTACATAAAACCCTCTAAAGGTGGAAGCAGAATGTCTCATTTGTATACACAAACATGATGTTATTTGCATTTACTGATAAAAGGGAGGGGACATTTGCTGAATGCCTGTTAGCGCTTTTTAGGCAGTGTTGATGTATGGCTGCGCGGTTGTTGTTTTTTAACATTTCATTAATTTCATTTCATTTTTTTTTCATTTTATTTTATTTTTAAATTAGTTTTTCTTTGGGCATATGTTTGTTCAATAGCATGCTGAACTATTCAAGGACCTTGAGGCTCTGGATAAAAAATTTCGAAGTCAAAATTTATTTCACATTCTTGCATCAGTTTTCCGTTTTCGCAAGTCATGTGTGTGGTCCCGCGGTATGGGCCCAAGTGTGAAGGGAAGGAGTTTCTAAGTTGACTTTACAGAAGGAGGGGAAAACACTTTATTTTGACTGGCTTACCGCATTCTTTCGCGTTGGGAAATAGCGGGCCAACGTTCCCGACCCATCCTTCATTGTTTTTAGTTTGTTTGTTTCCAGCCTACTTTTTTTGCCCTTCTCTTAAAATACAAGTTGAGTGAGTGGTCACTACCATTTACCTAGCAAATACGTGCCAGTGGCGAGTTTCCTGCGGGGAGTAATCCCCGGTCTAAGTGGGAGTGAGGAAGTTGGGGCCCTTTGTGCAGTGTTTACCTACGTTTGGGTCTTAGTTGTAAGTCAAGGGCACGGGGGCACTCTTGTAATTGATCTTTTGAAACTGAACTGCGGAAATGTTTTGCTTCTTGTCTCCTGTCTT